AGTGTATATATATATATATATATATATATATATACACATATATACAGTATATACAGAGTGTGTGTGCTGTTCACTTGCAGAACATAGCATATCTCCCCTCCACTTTACTTTCTGACTCTCTGTGAAGTGGACGCACATGTGCAGTGTACAGTTAAAGGGAAAAATGGCTGCTCTGAGCACAAACACTAAACGTGGCCATTAATCTTTACACTTTTGCATTTGTTTTAAAGGTGCAATTATCCTTTCAATTGCTATTGAATTTCAGTGATACTGTACATTGGAGCCGATTTTTCAATGAAGTAGAGAAAATTAAATTAGCAAAATTGAATATGTGTTCACTTTATTCATCCAATCATGTATAGGTAACTTTGTGTCTTTTAAAATACCTCTGCACATGACTTGGTACTGAAAGTGAACACAGCTTCACTTTGCTAAGTTAGCATTCTCTTTCTTTCGAAAGTCAACCACATTGTTTCAAGATGTTTAATGCTCTAAAATCTATCGCCTGTGAAATGATTGCCCTAAAATAAATCTGAAATCTGACATGGCATTTAAATAGTGCCAGCTGTACTGATTTATCTAGTAGAATCGTAAGGTCTTCTAAGCCTCGATGTACATATTCAATACTATAGTGAACCTACTATATCATTGTATGCTCATTCCAGGGCTTAACTCTGGTGCTTTCAGCTTCACCTCCCCAAAGATAAGGCTATGTAACACACCAATTCTTATGTTTCCATTATTTACATAAAGCATGCAAGGTTTTCTAATCCCACTAGAGAACTGTTGGTGGAATAAGTATTTATTTAAATAGTAAACAGAGTTTATAGGTTTTAGGTGAAAAATAAAATGGTGGTATTATTTTATGAGAGCATTTTTATAGAGCTTTAAGACAGAGGCTTCAATAGAGGCCTCACTCAAAACAAAAGGTTTTTTTGGGATGTTTTCATTCAAAATGCAAATAGAATGCATGGAATCCTGTCTCCAACATGAAGGGTATAATTACTGTTACCCTGCAAGTACACTAGATACAAAAAATGTTTAATTACTTGAATTGCTTATGAATTGTGCTTAAATTAAACTTGTATGGAGTGAAATACAGAGGTGGCCTTTGCTACGCTTCTTCTGAAAATTCTAGTTGCCAGGTCCTCCTTAACGTCTATCTTTTCTGAGCCATTGGGGTTGCCAGAGCCATGCCCAGTGCAGGTGATGACCAAGGTAGGGTTGCCTGTTTGTGTGTGCGCGCACACACGCAGACAGCTTAGTAATTTGGAGCCTATTGAAAGTGCAGGGTCAGTGCCAATGAATAAAAGTCTCTGCCAGGCCACTGAGTTTGTCACACAGGCAGGCACAGTGGCTGACAGCGCTGTGCTCAAACACTGAGCCTGCACTTTTAAGAGGTTCTGCCTCACTAGAGAGGATCAGTAATGCTGAGCCTGGGATTTTATCAAGCTCAGCGTTACTGAGATGCATTGAGGATAGAGTGTCAGGAGTGGAGACTCTGGCCTCAGTACTTTGCCCCACCCTGCCTCTTTGAGTCCTCAATCAGCCTAACTAGTGACATAGCTCTGGAAGTTAATTCACTAAAGGTGTAAAGACTGTTCCCTTTGCTAAGTGGATTATCACTTTGATTGCTTACTCAGCTTAGTGAATAAGTTGAAGCTGTGTTCATGTCATTCATAAAGCAATGTACCAACAAAAATTCTGGTTTTCCCTTGCACATGATTGAGCATGAAAAGTGAACACGGCTTCTAGTAACACTTCCCCTTATCTACTATATTATGTGAAAAAATACTTTGAAAAAGGGAATAATCAGATTGATCAATGCAAAGTCTATACTCTTTTAGTAAATCAAACCCATTAACAAGTAGCTGAATAAATCAGGGGAAATCAGAAATCCTGATCTGTGAACCCATTCCAGGTCAGTGACTTAGGGATCATTAAATCCTTTCTATAACATAACAGCCATGCAACTGGCATATGGCAAAGAATAGTTCATTAATGGTACCCTGTATATCTTGTCAGGTGTCTTTTAAGGAATGTGTGGACATTAGCTCAAAGCTTATAATTTTTGGCTAATGGAAATTATATATTTTCTGTAGGATACCAGCAGACATTGCTTTCCAAGACTTGTTTGTAAGGAAATTAATTGGCCATTTTGTAAAACTTTGATCACTTCTATTTCCATATGGACCTTCTTGTCATAATAGCTGAGTTCCAGCACATGCTTTTTTTTACAGAGGAATGGAAGGGGCATGTTTGATCAGATCTGTTACTAGTACTGATTACTGAATGCACAGGGTCTAGGTCTGGTGCCTATTGGAATGCACTCTAATATTTAGACTCCCTGTGCAACTTCTGTAAGAGGAAGTGGGGTTATGACTACGAAGACTGTTAGGAAAATGTCTCTTTGTCTACATATCAATTTCTGTGACTCATTGGGGCTTTAATTTATACAATACATGTTCATGGACCCAGCAAATTGCATAAAAGCTTGAGGATGACAGATTGTGCCAGCATATACTAATGCTCTTCTACAATATGTACAATACGGTTCATATACAGTCAGGGCCGGATTTCCCACAAGGCCAACCAAGGCCCGGCCTTGGGGCAGCAGTGAGTAGAGGGGCAGCAGGGGTGTGGAAGTCCTATCTCCCGATGCCCAGGACATGCAGTTCCGGGCGCCAAGCGGGTAGTTGTTTTCTACATTTAGCCCTGCTTTTGGCAAGCAGAGCTAAATGTACAGCGGGGAAGCCGCTGCTTGTTTTGTACAGGTGATCTCGGCGATTTCGCCGAGATCACTTGTATGCAGCCTGCAAGTCTGCCATTCTCCATAGGGGTGGGGGCATGGTTGGCGGGTAGGGGGGCGCATTGAGGAACCTGGCCTTGGGGCAGCAGAGAGAGTAAATCCGGCCCTGTATACAGTACTGTCTATGATGGCTTTCAGAATAGGTACTCTCTTCCTATATATTAGGCTTAGTTAGAATCAGCTCAAAAGAAGCTGGAAGCAATTTTGTGGAGCTAAGAATATAATTATAATAATATTGATTGAAGATTGCTGCAATCAGTTCACTCACACCTTTCCCCACTAACTTGCCTTACTTTAATATTATGGTCCTTTGTTAAGTTTATCTTATTTGATCCTGGAAATCCCAATTGCCTTAGTTTGTAGTTGCGATTCTCAGTTCAGACCATTGGTGACCATTAACAGATCATGTTTTCCAGATCCACTTCAGACTCAACTGAAAAAAGGAATGCATTTTCTTTAAGTGTCTACTAATTTACATAGCTAAGGTTCTTCCAAGAAACAAGGAAACATGATGTGTTGGCAACTATTGAGGCCTAGCGCTCAGAAAACTGGTCTGTAGCAATGAAGTCAAAAAGCAATAATGAAGAGAAATATAGATATAGAGCAAAAGATGGTCTGTAATTTTACACTGTTGACAGAAGTATTTGTACCTTGACCAATAGACAAATAATGAAAACAGGTGCAATTATATTTTTAAATCATTATTTCTTAAGATATACATACCTACTGATGGTTGAAGGCCTGTAACCGACTTATGTTTAACTAATAATAAACATAATTTCGATGGATGGAAAACACTAATCCTTTGTGCAATTTGTAGGTATGGTTTCAGAACCGGAGAGCAAAATGCAGAAAACAAGAAAACCAAATGCATAAAGGTGGGTATGGTGAGTAACAATCAAATATTCTCCTTCCCCAGATACACCCACCCAAACAACCATCCCTTTTCTGAGCCTTCACTCAAAAACAGCCTTCTTCCACTTTTACATTAGAGTAACTTTTTTTTAGCAATTGGCAGCAATTACCACTCCTGAACAACTGTTACTTAACCAACCCTTAACAGTGCACAGAAACATGTACAGAAACCCGGAGGAGACAATTTTTTTTGGCTTCACTACACAATCGGGCTGATTTACAAAAACTGAAGCAAAAAGAAGTGGATCTTAAATGGAGCAGTGGTACATAGCAACTAATCAGGTTTATTCAGTTTGGTACTGTATGCCTGCTCAGTTTGGAGAAAATAGCTGAACAAAACATTTTCATTTTTTTATTGATGCATAGTACTGACTTTTAGGTTAATTGAAAACCCTAGAAATTAAATAAGTCAGACAAACAATAGAATTAAAAGGCAAAAAACTGCATCTGTACAAATATTTCCTCAGCTGTCACTTTCCCGTTGTGGGACGTAGGCAAACCCCACCCTTTTTCCCACAGTGCAATGAGCCTGAGCAGCTTGTCACCAGGCCCGAGTATTGTCTTTTAAGACAATTGAAAAGCTCCCTAACTTAGCCGAGCGGCTCAGTTGAGCCGAACGCATATGCCTCGGCTCAGCTGAGCCGCGCTGAAAGCCATTGGCTGGCTGATAGCCTGCTTCTGACAGCTGGGCGGAGCCAGCCGTGATCTTACGGCTGGCTCCGGTCACTTGCAGAGAGATCAGCGTCCCTGGTTACCAGCTAACCAGGGACACTGAACATATGCACGTATGGGTAATGTATGTATGAGCTCTTATATTTTTGCTTTTTTTATTTTTTATTACTTTACTTTTTTACAATGTTTTATTTGTTTCAAAATGGAGAAGGCATGGGACCCTGTCACAGTGCCTTGGCTCTTTGAATGACCCAGGGAGCAATCAGGTGATCAACTTTTATGCCTTTTTACTCTTCACTGCCCATGAGCTATAGAACATGCTCCAGTTTAGCCTCTTCCACAAAATCTTTTCTGAATAGGCCCATCCTAGGAAACTATTGAATAGATTCTGAGGACTCCCCTGAGCATCTGAAGATGAGAATGGGGACTGATAATCCTCCTCAACTCCTTACCTGGCTCCTTATGGAAGGGATCTGATTCTGAACATGCCCAGTGCTGAGCACTGTAGGGTAATTTAACACAGAAGCTAATGGTCAGTGAGCTACTTGTTAGAGCTTTTGCCCCATCCAGAGAATCTTCAATTCTGCTTCTTCTGGAGGAATATGGGAATATGACATAGCTTAGAAGACAAAGACATGCAATGAAAAACTAATCACTAAAATGAAGTAATATATGTAACTGGCTGGTAAAAGTAACACTTTTACTCCAGTTTTTTTTTACAATTAGCCCTACATATTTCACCTCTTGTTTATCAAGTCAAACCTGACATGAGGAATCCCCATAGAGTAACCTGTGTAATCTATGGGTCTATTATAACAAAGTAAAGCCACCATATGGGCCTCCTTCATCTTCCTGTTATATTGTTAACCTTACACTTTGGTTTGGTAGTAACTTGTGCTAAAATTAACACATCCTAAAATACTTGTATCTCTATTAGATTTTTTGCATACATCATTTGTGATCTGTCCTATTTGCCCAAAGCAGTGAGGTAAATGCCATTATATTTGTTAGGCAGAAAATACTCCCTGTCCACCCCCCTGATCCTGGTTTCACCTGATTACTAAGTTCTTGAGTTCCCTATTTTGGATTAATTTACATCTACCTGCCATTTTCCTATCGCATGAGAGCACCCCATTGTCAGATAAAGGTGATTTATTTGGACAGAAGGGAGGCTAGTGAGGGAATATGATGGTGGAGGCAGTTCCCCAATGTCTGGAAATGCAAGTCCTTAACAATAAGGGAAATCAGGATCAGGGCAGTGCCCAAAAGAGGCTTTTCTGGCTACCAAAGGTAACCAATAATTTTTTTTAAGTTTAAATGGGCTGCCAGTTTCACTACAAATTGTGTAATAATGGTTTATATGGCAACATAAGCTAAAATTGCATTGACATATATGGAACATTGTTACACGTTTACCTGATCACAGTTTGCCAAACCCATTATATGTTTACAGCACTGCAGACTCTTAATGTAATTGTTTTTAAAATAAATATGGCTTGGGCATATAATCAATCGAAAATACTGTCAAAAGCATAAGCACATGACAGAATTGGTAAATTTCCTGGGTAAGAATGGCTGATTAATACTAATTATTTATTCCTAAAAGATGTCCTAAAAGACCTGTCCTTTTGGCTCAGAAAAGGGATTTCCCCTACTAGTCCAATACAAATGTACACTGAACACTGACATATATTCCTTTTCCAGGTGTGATTCTGGGAACAGCAAGTCATTTAGAAACATGTAGGGTTGCGCCATACGTGAACATGGGAGCACTGAGGATGCCTTTCCAACAGGTAGTGCATTTATTATTTGCATTTGCCAATGGAAAATATGTGGGTGTGAGTATAATGCTCAGTAGCAAATGTATATTCAAAAATGTTTTTTTCCCCAACTTTTAGATAAAAATTATAATGAGTAAGGATCAAAGAGATGCTACCCAATCAGATCATCTGGCACAAATAACATGATAGCTAACATTTGATTGATATGGGCACCTGGACTGCTTTTTCTTGCAGCTATTTTTTAATAGATGTTGTAAATGCAGTACAAGTTTTCTAACTTGTGCCATGTCCTCATGTAAGATAATTACAGCTTAACACAGTTGTAACATTTGTAACAATCCTAGACAGGAGGTCAGCACAGTTGTTCATACAGAAGAATGTAAATGTGATATGTCTCTGCATTACATTGTCAATTGTATTCAGGCATTGTTCTACAGATGATTTTATGGTTACCTTTACTGCCAGTTAGCTTGGCATGTTTATGTTGGTTAATTTTAGACTGCTCTCTAAAAGCCAGTTGGATCAGATGGCAATTCTTATCAAGTAAAAATAATAAAAATAAATAAAATAATTAAGTTCATTCACTTTCCTTTATTCAGGAAATATATATTTTTTTTACCACTTTAATGGTGCCAGAGTGTTTTAGTTTTGGAGAGTTCTGCTCCATTTAAGTTTTTTTAGGTCTACCCCAATATAATGCATCTCTTATTTCAGGACAGATCAGGCTTTAACTTCTTCATGACCGAAGCCTTTTTTTTTGTTTTCTGGACCCATGTTATAATCCACACTTTAGGCCTGAAAATTATATATTTTCTGAAAGACAAGACCCTGTAGAATACAATGGTGGCAGTTGCAAATTTTTATGTTGCACGGTATTATCACATTTTATTATCAAACCCATAAATTTAGTGCAAAATGCAAAGTTAAATTTAGGGGTCTATTCACTAAGCTGCAGTAGGCAGCCGAGTGAAAGACCGACCTGAAGTGAAGTGAGCCGAACGCTGTTCAGCTATTCACTTCAGGCTGGTAAGGCTGATTTCAGCCTTATATCGGCTGAAATCAGACGTACATCGGGTGGCTTCACGTGGCTTTGGGTCGGCCGAACATGCTCAGCAGTGCAGGAGGAGTTTGAAGTGCAGGAGGAGTTCGACTCAGCCGATCCAACATTTGGATCGGCTAAGCCGAACCTCCAGCAGGCTACTCGCTGCTGTTCAGTCTATTCTTATAGATGCCGAACAGCAGTGACTGAATAGCCGAATGCCGCCGGCATTAGTGTCAGAATATAAAAAAAATAATAATTTTTGCCCATTGGAATGCATTGCTAGATTCCTATTGGCTATTTCCATTTGCAATAGCCAATAGTAAACTAGCATTGCACCCGCCCTCTTCTGCAGTTCTCCATCAGCAGAGGGCAGGTGCAATGCTAGTTTACTATTGGCTATTGCAAATTGAAATAGCCAATAGGAATCTAGCAATGCAAATTATTATAATTTTTTTCTATTCTGACACGGTTCCGTGTCAAAATAAAGACAAAAAAAAGAAAAAGCAGTGTTTCTCTCCTGGGCGGCCAGGAGCAGGAGACTCCCGGAGCGCCCGGGAGAGTTTGCTGTCTGGAGATCAGTGTCCCTGGTTAGCTGGTAACCAGGGACGCTGATCTCTCTGCAAGTGACCGGAGCCAGCCGTAAGATCACGGCTGGCTCCGCCCAGCTGCCAGAAGCAGGCTGTCGGCCAGCTTCTGCTTTCAGCGGGGCTCAGCCGAGGCATATGAATTAAAATGAGTAAACAGATAATCAACATGCCCAGGATAAAAATTGTGCGCATCTGTGAAACGGTGACAAAATTCAGTACCCCAAAAAGTCCATAGACAGCGCTTTAAAAGCCCCTACAGGTCATCAGTTTTGAGATACACATAAATATTGGCCCTAGAATGATTGCTCTAACTCTGATGTGCACAGTGATACCCAATATGTATATCACGATCGTCGTTTTCATACGTATGCACACCCGACACGTGTTTACGTTATGACGTGCGTGCTCGTGGGGGCGGGGAACTTTAAAAATGTTTTTATTATTTTTACATTCTTTTTATTTGATACTATTTTAAAAAACTGTTATTTGTAATTTTTTTTACTTTACTTTAATTGCTATCACATGGGGGGCTTATAAGCCCCCCATGTGATAGCAGATGGTGATGACAGGTACTCTTTAGGGTGATGCTGGGGGTCCAAAAGACCCCTAGTTTCACCTTTACACTCTAAATAAGCTATTGAAGTGCAGATCACGCTTCAATAGCTTATAGCTGGGCTTCAGGAGCCCAGCAATGACAGCTATGGGACCGGAACTGATGCAATACGCGTCGCTCCTGGCCCCATAGTACGGGGGAGGAAATCTGTGAATGGCCATTCACCGATCTCCTCCCAAGCTTCCCACTGACACCCAAGAAGCCAATCCCAGGCTTTTGGAGGGGCAGCAGAGCTTACTGGCCTGGAGAAGCGATCTGGCGACAGCTGAGTCACCAGAATCGCTTCTATTGTAAAGTCTACAGCTAAAGCCGCCGGGAGTCTGTTTAAATGGGCACGGTGCAAGTGACGTACTACGGACATCACTGGTCACTAAGGGATTAATTTGGTAGCAGATATAGATATATACATTTTAATTTCCTATGTTTTATTTAGGAAGAAATGTGACAGTTACAGCCTTTTGACTACAAGTATATCATATAACTGTGATTTTTATGTAACATAGAAATATGGCAAAAAACAAATAATGTTTTTTCTTTTAATTTAGGAGCACTTTTATCCCTTTCAGCATTATATTGTGACATTTATAGGAAAAAAATAAATGTGCAACTTAGAGTTTGGACAGAAATTAGCACAGCGGAAACATTTTCATAGGTTTGTGAGCTCTTACATTCTCATTGCCATTGTGCCTGTTTATGTTTCACAGTTGGCACTTAGAAAGTAGTGAAATTGTCATTCATAGCATCCATTGTGTTTGTTTGAATCTAAGGATTAATAGGGAGGGAATGTTTTTGTATTTTATTGCTTTATAATTTTTTTTATATTGATATATATTCTTGTTTTCTCCATGGGGGTTTGGAAGCCGGTGAGGAAAGACTTAGGGGTCTATACACTCAGCTGCCGTGGGCAGCTGAGTGAATAACCGATCCGAAGTGAGCCGAATGCTGTTCGGCTATTCACTTCAGGCTTGTACGGTTAATGTAAGCCGCATATCGGCTGAAATCAGCCGTACATCGGCTTACTTCGTGTTGCTTCGGGTCGGCCGAACAAGCTCAGCAGAAGTAGTTCAACTCAGCCAATCCATTCGGCATTCGGCTCGGCTATTCTGCTCGGTACCTCTGTGGTACCGAGCAGAATAGAAAAATAGGTAAAAAAAGTAGAAAACAAAATGGAAAACGATTGGGCGGAGCTAGCAGTGACAGCTAGCAACCGTCAGAATGAAAAAAAAAAACACCATAGGAATGCATAGCTAGATTCCTATTGGCTATTTCACTTTGCAATAGCCAATAGCAAACTAGCTACTGCACCTGCCCTCTGCTGCTGTCAATCACTAAAAGGGGACCTGATGGAGAACTTCAGGTCCCCTCTGCTGATTGACAGCAGCAGTGGGCGGGTGCAATAGCTAGTTTGCTATTGGCTATTGCAATTTGAAATAGCCAATAGCAATCTAGCTATGCATTCCTATGGTGTTTTTTTTTTAAAATTCTGATGGCAGCCAACGGCTCCGATGTCAGAACAAAAAAGACCACAGGGCAGGCAAAGATTTACTCTGCTCCATAGAGCAGAGTAAAACTTTCCCGGAGAAAGTGTTTCTCTCCGGGGGGCTGGGAGCCGCTATCTAACGACTCCCAGAGTGTCCGGCAGAGTTGGGCTGTCTGGAGATCAGCGTCCCTGGTTACCTGGTAACCAGGGATGCTGATCTGTCTGTTCAAGTGGCCGGAGCAGCCGTGTGATGACGGCTGGCTCCGCCCAGTAGTCAGTAGCAGGCTGTTTGGCCAGCTTCGGCTTTCACCCCTAAGCCAACTTTGGGAGCTGTACGAGCTATAGTGAGTAGCCCCTACAGCAGCCCTTCAGTTCTACTGAACCGAAGGGGTCCTGGGGCCGAAGCTAGTCGAAGGATCAGCCAAAGCTACGGCTAGATCCTTCGGCAGCTTAGTGAATAGACCCCTTAATCCAGCCTCTCCCCCATGGACCTATGCAGCAAAAGATCACTTATAACAGTGATCTATTTTACAACTATTATTGTAGTGAACTGAAGCTGTCAGGGTAGGCAAGGCAGCTCTGCCCTATTCAAAGATGGTGGTGTAAGTTCACAGGAAGTTCTGATGACAACACAGGCTACAGTGCTTGCACTTGAAAACAATAAAAAAAATGTGTTGCAATGTGCTACTCCAGAGTACTCTTTCTGAATGCTCTGTAGCAGGATTGCAGGCCCAGAAGCTGATCAGTTCCACTATTAGCCCTCTCCAGGACCCACAAGGGCCGATAAGACCAGATGCCTTTTTAAGATGGCACTTTGACAAACAAATGACATCTGAGGCTCAAGTGATTAATATTTTAAAACAATTATAAATGTACATTTTAAACTCTGTCTGTATTTTAAGGTATTAATGGGGCAGCCATTTGAATCCAATTTTAGCAATGTATGCAGGACTGTCTTATGATCTATAATAGAATTTTTTTTACTTTCTGGATAAATAGTGTATCCTTTACTGCATCAGGTTTTTGTTGAGCAGGTACCGGTACTGTAGTAACATGTCAATATCTACTTGAAAGTAAATTAGTATTCAACAAAAATTACAGAAGAAAGAAAACATCAAAAAGATAAGTGTACATGTGCAGTGAGGAAAGGGAAGTAAGGACTTAGAAAGAAGTAAACAAAAAGAAAAAAAGTTTAGAAATATACCTAATAGCATATTATTTGATACATCCTTTGTTTTTGTTGTGCTTTGGTTTTAAATCAGAGTGACCAATCTAATTTTATCTAATTTA